TTCCTTACCAGGTGGGGAAGCAAGATGGAACAGTGAAACACAGACACAGTGCTGCACTTCCAACCCCAAATTCCTGCTAAAGGGTGCCCCAAGGTGAGACACTTTGAGGATCAGTGCAGCACTGATCTTGACCCCATCATGCCTCCCCCAAACCCATGGCACGGGAAGGGGGCACGTGGCTCGGGATGGGCTGGACTCGTTAACCTCACCCAGGGCGGGGGGGCAATGCAGCAGTGAGCTTTTACCCTCGTTGTGCCGGTTTTTGGTGGCAGAGATTGCCAAACACAGTCGGGAAGGATGGGAGCAGCCACGTCGGGTGGAAGCTATTTCTGCAGCCCACAGTCAGGTTTTCCTCAATCCATCCAGCCTTAACAGAGCGGGCTCGGGGCCAGCCGAAACCTCACGGTCACGGGAGCAAGACCACAACAGGTCAAGCACGGGACGGGGCCAGGAAGCTCAGGGCCAGCCTGCGAGACTCGCGGCGTGGGGAAGGAAGCGCAGCACAGCCCGAGTGACAAGCGTCCCCGCGTCACGCGTGGGCAGAGGCGCTGACCCGGCAAGGCTGCTCGCCCTTGGCTGCGCACCCCAAAGCCAGCCCGGTGCCCTCCAGGCGCGGGGCCCACGCATGCCAGGCTGCACCCCTCGCCCAAACCTCCGCCGGTTCCCTGGCTGCGAGGCGAGCGCAGGCTCGCTACGCACGTGCCCCATTTTTTATATTTTTTTGCTTTAAATGCCCGGGCAGTTCTGTTCCCCAAATTCCTCCAGACCACCCCACTGATCCCACACACCAGCCTACGGCTATTTCAGATGCTGCATCTCCACTGAGGCCACCTGGAGCCAAGAGGCTCGGGCAGATTTCTTTAAGATTGGAATTAAAACCAACAACCATCCCCCCCCGTTGCCCAGCGGCCCATGCCCCGCGCAGCCCTGGCAGCCCCCAGCCCTCCCCAACGCCTCCCTGCTCCGCAGTGAGGGCAGCCAGGAGATCTGTAGCCTGCAGGGAAGTCAGTGCAAGACGCAGATTTTCAGGTCCTGGTTCCTGGCCCAGGTTCAAACCACATTTGTTCCTGAAATCTGTTTCAGGGCTTTATTTTCAAAGCATGTGTGTGCAGAGGCATGTGCAAAGCAGCACCAGTTCCTGCTGCAGCCAGGGCCAAGGTCGCATATGCCAACATGGGGCCAAGCCAGGGGTCTGGGTGCCCCCGAGCACCAACTGCAGCCCATGCTGATGGAGCCATGCTCAGCCAATTAGTTAGAATTTTTTTTTCCCTCCTAAGCACACAGCTTGCTTGTGGACTATCTCACAGCTTGCTGCCCACTTAAAAGATGAAGGACCAAAGGCATTGCTACGCTCAGAAAAGGCCCACTTTAAAATAGCCCCGCGACACACTGCACATTTTTTGCTGATGGGCGGAAACTTCAGCAAGACGCGAACCCCGGGGGGAGTCAGTCCACACCACCCGCAGCTACAGGCAGGCAAAAAGAAGAGTTTGAACTGGAAACAGCGACTGTCCCAGGAACAGCCATGCAAGGATGGTTATTTCCATCCTGAGGTCCGAGCTGCTCTCCGGGCATGGGATTAAAGGGATCTCTCCCGCACGGAGCAGCGCGGGGCCGTCTGCCGGGGCCGGTGGGACGGACACGGGACACAGCTCCGGGCTCCGGGGCAAGATGCGGAGCGCTGCAGAAGTGAGCTCCGAGGGGAAATTGTTCCGAGAGATAAAGGAATAAGTTGGAAACCGAGCTGCAAAATAGGCAGCACAGGAAACAATAGCGCTTGAGATAGGCTTTCAAATTTCCCCCAGCGATGCCAGGAGTACAGCGCTTTGTCCCAGTGATGTTCAGGGGGTTTTCCCCCCACCCTTAGACACGAGGGGAGGAGGCGCAGAATGTTTGCTCGCTCCTACCTTTTCTCTTTCAAGTTGTTACAGGCATTTGCTGGTCATTAATATGAGAGATTATGGACCAAGTCCTTCAGGTCTCATTAGATAAAAGTTTTAGCTCTGTGATGACTTCAAAGGCCAGGTGTGATCCTGGCACCAGCAGCAGGGAGAGGCAGACGGGATTTCGGAGGCACGGTAGCTCCACGGTCCATCCCCTCCTCACCTCGGTGAGCCTGGCAAAACAACGCTGCTTTGCAGGAGCTGCCCACGCTGCTAAAGGCCATCCCCACCTCAGGACTGCTGCTGTCCCCTCTCTGCCACCAAGGCAGCAAAAGACCCTCTTCCCTCTGTAGCAAAGCCTCCGCGTAGGTCGGTCATCAGAAACTGCAGCTCTCTCCATCTCATCCCCCAGCTCCCCGGCCGTGGGGCTGGAATGGCTCTTTCTGCCTCCCTGCGGTCCCTCTATGATTTTCTCTCACTCTGGCACAAAGTCATTAAAGGGCAGAGATATCATTAGGGCATCTCCATCACACAGGGAGCACTGCAAGGCCACTAACGATCGAGACAGGGAACATTGGACTTCCCTTAGCTGCTGCTGCGCCAGCCAACAACACCGTCTGCCAAAAAAAAAAAAAAAAAAAAAAAAATCCATCGGGCTGTGTTTTGGCAAAGCCATCAAGGCAAGGTGTTTGGAGTAGCCTCTGCCCTGCTGCTCCTGGGTCAAAACTGGGGAACTGACCCTCGATCTTTCAAGCAAAGGTGCCCTTCTCTGACAAACGAGCACTAACTGGCTAATGATTACAGAGACGTGGCTCCCCAGGGAGCCACATGAGCCTTGTCTCGAAGATGCCGGATCGGCCAAGGTTTTGCTATGGGCCGGATCCTGAGCCAGCATGAAGTGGTGCAGAACAGCTGGTACAGCACAGGGCAGCCCAGGATCCACCCCTCTGGCTGCAAAGGTGTCGGGAGCAGCACCGCAGAGGAAATAACAAAAACGATACTGCTTTAAAGTGCAAGATTGCTGATGTCCCCCTGCACGTCCCCAGCCTCACGGCTCTCCAGAGAGCCCCGCCAGCCCCCCACCCTTGTCTGACCAACATGTGCTGCACGGGGGCCCAGGCGCCTGTTGAGCGGGTGCTGAGGGGGGGTCACCAAGCCTGGCAGGGACAAACAGCTTCCCACCATTAACGGCTGGTCCTTGGGAGGGTTTGTCATGGCTCGGTTCCCCCCCCCCCCCGCCCGGCACACCAGTCACTGCTGGCAGCGGGTATCTCCTGGGCTGAGAGGAGTGACAAAGCCCTCCAGCTCCCTCCTGCTGTACACCTCCTCCTTGGGGGAGCACCAGCCGGGCAGGAGGAAGAAAAAAAAGAAAAAAAAAAAAATCAAGTCTTTTGTTGTCACCTTCCCGCAGCTCAGTTTGCGTGCAGCACTGCTGGGTACGTGCTGTCCTGTCCCTGTCCCCGCTGCGCAGGCAGTGCCGGCCCCAGGCAGGAGCTCCCACCAGGAACCCCCCAGGCTCTGCACCCTCCACTGCCCCCCAGCTCCTCGTGCTGTGGGGCGGTGGGTCCAGTCTTGGGGGACCCCCCCAGCTGCACTGAGCAGTCCCATCACGTCCCTTCCTTTGCGCTGCTCCCCGGGAGCCCGGACAGGCGAGCCAGTGGCACACACAGGGTAGCACAACCTGCCACCTACGACCTTTACGGCTGACCGATGGCACTGGGACCAGGACCAGGGTTGGGATCAGGACCAGAGTCACCTCCTGGCCCCAAAGCCAGGGGGCTGAGCCCGGCCCACCTCAGCAGCCGCCGGAGCGAGGAAGGGCCCCGGGGAGAAGCGCGCTGTGCCGGGCCAGCAAAACCCGGGGAGCTGGGGCAGATCCCTACTCATTTCCAGTGGGTCTCGCAGGAGGCTGCGCAGCTCCCCGAGACGATGCTCAGCACCAGACAGGATTGTGCCAGGACCAGTGCTACAAACCGCCAACCCCCCTCCAGCCCCTGTCTCCAGCGCACACAGACCGGTGCTGTGGGCCCCATCCCCGCAGGCTGCCCCCCATGCCCGTCCCAAACGGCACCAGGGTGCAGCACAGCCTGCCTGAGCTCCTGCACGTCCCCCGGGGCAGCGAGCAGGGGTAAAAGCCCATCCGGATCCCAGTGTGGTTCAGGGCAAAACCCACAATGCTCTTCCGTGGCACCCAGGGCTGTGACAGAGACGGTGGGGACACGCCAGTGCTACCGCTCGCAGCCACACGCGGGGGTCGGATCACCCAGGCTGCGATGGGGGGAACTTCCCGGCTGGATAAAGCCGTTTATCGGGCAACCGGGGGGCTCTGCAGCCCCCCAGCAGCCTGGAGCCGACCAGCCCCAGTGAGGGGCACAGCGAGGAGCCCACCGGCCACGGCTCTCCAGGCCCACCCAGACTGGACGCGAGCCCCAGAATTACCAGTGAGCAAACACGACAAGGGAAGCGGATCAGGAGACATCAAAGCAGGGGGGCGATGAATATTTCATGCCCTGGCCTACATACAGCCCCGCGCTCCCCGCCCTGCGCTCCCGGGGGTCCCCCACAGCCCCTGATCACAACAAAGGGGAGTTGCAGGCAGGCGGTGCCGCCGCGCCGGACCCTCAGTGTCCCCAGCTGGGCCCATGTCTGCCCCCCCAGACAGTGGCATCCCCAGCCGGACCCACAGCTGACCCACCAGACCACGGGCATCCCCAGCCCGACCCACAGCTGACCCACCAGACCACGGGCAATCCCCCGCTGGATCCACAGCCGCCCCACTGAAACCCATACCCAGAACGAGAGCATCCCTGTCGGGACCCATAGCCAGCTCACTGGGCTGCGGGCATCCCCCCCCCCCCCCACTGCCGGACCCACGGCTGCCCCACGGGAGCCTGGGCATCCTCGGGCTGGACCCACAGCCTCCTTGCCAAACCGCCAGCGTCCCCAGTTCGGACTCACAAGCGGTTCACCCGACTGCGAGCATCCCTCCCGCCGTCCCGGCGGACCCCGGGCAACTCCCCCCCCCCCCCAACCGGATAGTGGGCATCCCCCCCACACCCCCCTCCCTGCCCCATAGCGGGGCATCCCCCGCCAGCCCTACAACCGCCGCCCGCTCACCTCCCGCCTGCGCCGGCCCCGCCGCTCGCCTCCAGCGCTCGGCCCCGGCTTTGTCTCCGCGCCGGGGGCGCGGCCGCCGCCGCCCCCCCCTCCCGCCGCCGCCGCCGCCGCCGCCGCCGGGTGCCCGCACCGGGCCGGGCGCTCAGGGCTGCGCCGCCGGCAGCAGCATCGCGCAGCGCCGCGGAGCCTCCGCGCTGCCGCCTCGCCCGCCCCCGCTCACCCCTTCTCCAGGGCGGGAGGGGGGGGAACCCAAGGGGAGGGGGAAAAAGAGAAGGGAGGAAAAAAAAAAAAAAAAAAAAAAAAAAAAAAAAAAAAAAAAAGAGGAATATGGCAGCAAACCGGAAACGGCGGATGGGGGAAAAAAGCAGCAGCCCCTCCCCTCCGTGGGTTTTTTTTTTTAAGGGAGAAGGCTCCGGGCAGCCGGGCTCCGCGGGGCGCGCAGCGGGCGAGGGGCCGCCCCCGCCGCGGGCTCTGCCGGCGCGCCCCGGCCCGCGGCGGGGGGAAGCGCCTGGTCGCGCTGGGGACACGCGTGGGAGCGGCGGGCTCGGTCCCCTGGGCGCGTCTCTGTCTGCGCGGCCCCGCGGGTGAGGGGCTGGCAGGGTGGGGGGGGTCCCCAGCGGTGGTGGGGTTCTGAGACCCCACCCAAGCCCGGCGCTCGTCTCGCTGCGTGTTGTGTTCACCTGGAAGCCAGAGCGGGTGACAGAGGAGAAGTGATTTTCGGGAGGTTAAAACCCGCCCGGTTTGGGGTTTTTGCTTTATTAACCAGTTCTGGCACACGGCGCGTAGCAGGGAGAAACGCTCTTTTGTCAGATTCTGCACTTGAATCCGTGCATCTCTGTCCCCAGGAGGGACACCTCACCGCCCCGGGGGGCTGCAATCCAGAAAGAGGCAAAACTTCAGCGTTGTGGGAAAGCAGGGAAAGATAAAGCAGGTCCTGGGCGTCCCTGGGGAGCCCTTCCAGGCCCTTTGGAGGCATCTGCCCCGTTTTGGGGTTAACACACCCCCAGGGCTGTTAATGCACCCCCAGTTCACCCCTGCAGCCGGTGCCAGCCTCCGAAATGAGGCAAAACGGAGCTGTGGGTGTTCCTGGGGCCGGCTGGCGGCATCACCCCGTGGGGCGCGGGACCCTCGAGTCTTGCTCGGGTAAGTGGGCACACGGGGACAGTTCCAGCTGTCCCTCCTCTCGCCCCCCAGCACCTTCCCCTCCTGGTGCTGGGGAGAGGTGGGAAATGCCCCGCTCTCCCCTGGCACAGAGCAGAGCCGGGGCGCACACGCGGGCTCAGGGCTCAGCCGGACACCCCGATTCCTGCACCAAGCCCGTCGAGGCTGCCCGGCCCGCTCAGTGCCGCGGGCAGCCCTCCCACCTCCCCCATTAGCAATCCTCTAAGGTGTTCCCTGTCACTTTATCCTCCAGGAAGAAATGGGCTGAAGCAGTCCGCTCCTTAACCCCCCATTTAGCTGGTTTATGAGGCACGCTCGGCTGCTGGCCGGCACTGGTGACTCGTGGGCTGTATTCCCACAGCCAGCACCGCCTCCGTCATCCCCTGCCCACCCCTCCGACCAACCCTTGCAGCCACTCAGCGGGGATTTCTGAAAACCCCATTACTCTGAGCAAAACCTGACACTTCAGAAACAATGTGGGAAGTTAACAAGTTTCAGAGAACTATGGGGCAGAGTTTTCCTTTCTGTTCCCCCCCCCCCCCCCCCACGCACACACACATATACACACACACTCTGCCTTGTTCTTTTGAGTTATTAAAAAAATATTTCCCATGACACTGGCGAAGGCCAGCGAATCCATGAGTCACCAGGAACAAGGAGTCACGCACACACGGATCCATCACCCCTGGCCAGCACATTGCCGAGGGGCCCTTCCCTGGGAGGAGACGACTGCTGATAAGGTCCCTACAGCCGGGCAGGGCCCGACGCTTTCCCTCCTCCCAGGGCTGGGAGAGGGCGGCCACGCTCCCCGCACACCCGTGGGGCCGCTGGAGTTGCAGAACAGCTGGGTTGGGGGTTGCAGCCCTGCTTGCTCCATGCCGGAGCGTCAAACCTCAGCCCGGTTTGTGCCGAGGCTTTTTGGGGGTGTTAGTTCGTAGTCCCCCCGCTCTGCTCTCCGGCTGGCGTGGGGATGCGTAGGGGGGACTCCTTGACCTGATGTCTGACGTGAGGTTAAGGAATTAACCTCGTGGCGTGGGGCATCCTCGGAGTACCACTCCGCTTGCTCATATGCCAATACTTTGTACATACTGTAGTAGGGCAAAGAGGGGGGCAGGCTGATGCCTGGGGCCCCCCGCGCCTTTTCCCCGCTGTGCCAGCACAGGGACACGGGGGCCGTCCCCTCTCCCTCCCGATCCCGGGCGCACCCGCTCCCGGCGCGAGGAGCTGCCGCCCCAGGGGAGAGCGTCCCCGGGGAGTGGGGACCCAGCCCCAGCCCCGGGTGAGCTGGGTAGGATGACTCAGCCTCCACCGGATCCAGACCCAAATCTAAGATGCAATTATGACTTATAAATATTTGAATTTTCTTTTCCTCTTTTGCAATCAGCTCCTTTTCTACTGGCTGCCCTATAATCGTTGTTTTCATCTCCGGCGGTGCTGGCCTGTTGCTGGAAGGCAAACAGCAAAGGCACTGTGCCTTTTAACGCGCCGGACCAAGTCCACGACATAATCTCTTCTTCGAAGAAGATGCCAACATGCAAATTTAAAATGGCAAATAGATACTCTCTAAAACCAGCCTCTTATCTTTTGGGCTCAGATTCAGGAATGTGCCCTCACAGGACTCTGACATTAAACATGCAGCGCTGGTGATAATGCGATTTAAGCCCATTTAAGTTTAAGCAACCCAGCACACCTCCGTGCGTCCCTGGCTCAGCTGGGAGGTCCTCAGCCCAACAGACACCCCCCAGCCGCCCGCTTTCCTTTCCCTCCTGCCCCACTCCAAGTATTTATCTTTAAACAGTCTAATCCACAATTATTTTTTCTTTACCCAACTAGGGATTTCAGTCTCTTCCGCAAATCTTATTTTCCTGAGATGATTCTTTCTCTTCACTTTTAAGGAAGAGTTACAGAAACTGAAACCCAGGTACTTTAAAATTTAAAAAGAAGTAGCACTGAGTATTTCTGGTGGCTCCGTTATTACAGCATGTCTTGAAATGATATTCTAACCAGAAATTGAGACGTGCTCAGGTATTTCTGTGCTTTCTTGCTGACCTTTACACAAGTTCCATCAGGAAAGAGAAGAATGAGAGTTACTGCGGGCAGAGCGCTGTCATGCTCATGAGTAAGAATGTGGCTCCTTCCCCCTTCAGGTGTGCAGACCAAACTGCTCCAGGGGGCTCCTGAAATCTTCCTGTGCAGTAAGAGGGTGCTTTTTGGGTCCAGTAATTGATCTGAGTCCTGACTTCTCCAACGTAGCTGTGGATTTACAACAAAACATCTATTCATCTCCAGCCAGATTTATTTTTAAGCATCCCCTTGGCAAGCATGAATAAGTTTTGTCTAATGGATTCTATTCCTGAGGCTAGCTGCATTTTCTTCACTGCAAATTCCAAATATATCTGCACAAATTATTACTATTAATAATATAACAGTTGTGTTTTGAAATGCTGGACAGACACAGAAGCAGCCACGGTTCTTGCCCTGAGATTTGATGACCATTGAGCTTTACAGCCCTGCAAATAGTGAGTGTGCGATGGCAAACAGTCAGCACCACCAGCCCCGTTAGGGAAGCTGCAGTTACGAGCTCAGGAACTGATATACTAAGGGGGATTGACCAGAATAACTCCTGCAGTACGAGCCATTTGGCAGTATTTCACGGGAGAAATGCTAGTTTTGGCCATTCTCTCCTGCACTGAGTAACAGGGCTGCGGCAGCCGAGCAGCAAATGCCAGCATCCCACAGGTTGAAGGATAAAAAGGGGCGGCTAAAAAGGAATCACCAGGAGGGCTCAGGACAACTTGGGACCCATCGTATTCCTCAGTGTGGTGACAATCTGCCGTGCAAAAGGGGCCCTCAGCCCCGGCACCAAAGCGGCCCCAGCCAGGAAGTGTCACTGCAAAATTCCCTGGGAGAAAGGACCACGGGGAAACCACTGACCCGGTGATGTGCAAATGTTTGATAAGGAGACACCAAGTTCAACAGCTGGGGGGGAGAAAATTATCTGCAGGTTCTGTAGAGACAGAACATTTTCCATCAGGTTTCTGACTGATAAAATATGATGTTTCGATAGAATCTGAATTAGGTATCTCGGAATAGCTCATTTGGGCAAAAATCCAACACTTTCTGCTTCTTGCCTCAGCTCAGCAGAAAAGACGCACGCAGAATGTTAGCATTTCCCAGTGGTGGAAATTCTGCTTTTTGGCCAGTTTTAGTATCAATAGAAAAGAGTGGTTCACAAAAGCTCACAGAAAACTCGTCCAGATGAGATTTATAGCCCTCATGCCGGCTTGCTTTGCTAACAGAGCAGCAGACGGGTGGCTGGCCAGTGCAAAGCTCTGGTAGCCACATCCAGGCGACCCTGTCCCGGGGGCTGTGGTGTTCCCTGGGTGGCAGAGGAGTCCCGGCAGCCACCCGGCTGCTGACCGGCCCGCGAGCGGCTGCAGCCTGCACCAGGCGGAGCCGGAGCGGACACAAGGGTGTTTCCCCTTAATCATCCAGTCTTGGTCCTCTGAGCGAGGGATGAGCTAAGGAGGCCAAAGTCTGAATCTGAAAAATTTAAAACATATGATGTTTGGATCTGTGCTCAGTTTAAAGTGAACTAAATAAGAGGGGAAGGCAGGGAGCAGAAATTGTTGCAGCTTCTCCCCTTCTCTCCAAAACTGCTCCTGCTGTGATTCCCTTCACTGCAGAGGCCCGACACCTGGGGACATCCTCTTCGGCCACCCAAAGTAGCTGCTGCAGCATCGCAAGTAGCTGCTCCGTGGGGACCACAGCCACGAGGACCCTCTCCAATGCAGCTGCAGCCCAGCCGTCCGACTGCAGCGTGGGCCCGATGCACAGGAGCTGCCCGTGGGGAGCTGCAGGGACGCGAGCACACAAAGCCCACGCTGGCAGCACAGCCCCAGCACAACTCCATCACGGCTCCAGCACGGCTCCATCACGGCTCCAGCACAGCTCCAGCACAGCTCCAGCACAGCTCCATCACGGCTCCATCACGGCTCCAGCACGGCTCCAGCACGGCTCCATCATGGCTCCAGCACGGCTCCATCACGGCTCCATCACGGCTCCAGCACGGCTCCAGCACAGCCCCAGCACAA